GTCCGCAGCCTACGACACAAGACGGGGGAGTAGATTCTGCGTCGGCGAGTTTCAATAATGGAGGTGGTGTTGGGACACCCGGTGGAACTACTACGGCTGCGCCGACGCCTTCGGCTAATGGTGGGGAGATGGTGTCACAGACGAGTGCGACGGAGTTGCCGGTGCACCTGAAGCAGCATGCGAATGTGCATGAGGGCGCGGTGTTTTATCCCTGGCCGGTGGAGGATAACGTGAGGGGTGGCGGGATGGCGGGGTATCAGCAGTTGTTGGATAGTGGGACGGAGCCGAGGGGGTATGATCCCGAGGAGGAGGAGAGGAAGAAGCAAGAGGAGGAGCAGGCGAGGAAGGATGCCGAGGAGAGGGAGAGGTTGGAGAGGGTTGAGGCGGATAGACGGATGCGGGAGGAGAGGGAACGGATGGCTAGGGAGAGGATGGAGAGGGAGAGGCAGGAGGAGCAGAGACGGGGGAGCGTGGCGACGGGTGCTGCGAGGGCTCAGAAGCAGCAGTTTACATTCTTGGATGGGTTGGACGATGATGATGACGAGTAGACGGCTGCCAGACGCTGGGACGAGAGATATGGGGATGGGAACAGCTTGATGCGATGCTACTTCGCATCGATGCGTTTGGAACAATGAATGATACCCAATATACCGAGCGCCACCCTCATTGAGAATTGAAGGGTCCCAAGCCTGTCTAAAGAAAACATGACACAATTCCTTCCGCTGGCCATGATGATACAGCGTAGTAATACATTTATGCTAATCTGACATCCAAATCCTCTAGCCTGCTTGCTCGCGTCTAATCGATCTTGATTGACTTGTAAATCTTTTGGACGAACCACCAGCTGGAAAAGTAGCCGATTGAGCCTAGTTCTGTTAGCATCTGCGCCGAAGTGAAAAGGGGGGATACGCATACCCGTCAAGATAAAAAAGAGGAAGGAAATCAGCAAGCTGTAGCCGATGTAAAGCACGCTCCCAGTGAGACTGCTGAACGACAGGTTGCTGACCCAGTAGATGAGAGCGTTGAGGAAGATGTACCCAGCGCTCATGCCAGCCGCCAAGAAGGATCTCCACTGCCAGTTGTAGTTCTCGGCACACAGGAGGAAGTAGACCATCAGTACCGTGACAGCGGCGCAAGTGATGATCATCAGTCCGTAGCACAGGAAAAGGAACCCGAACATATAGTAGATCTTGCTGAACCAGATGGAGCTCATGACGAAGTAGAGCTCAACAAAAATGGCACCGAATGGCAGGATACCAACAAGAAGCATGCTCGGGATTGGCTTGAGATACGTCGTTGGGGGTGGGATTTGGCGAGGAATCTGGTTGGTACGGACGGGAGGTTCGATAGCCTTGGCACGGAAACCCAACCAAGAGCCGGCAAAGGAAAGAGGCACTGAGATGATGAACCAGATCAAGACGATAAGCAGCATCGTAGTGAAAGGAACGGCACCCGATGATCCCTTGCCCCAGAGGAATAGGTCGAGGATGAAGAACGTCCCGAAAACGATGCTGGGGACGAGCAGAGGAGTAAGCGCGATATTCAGCTTCCACTTCTCGCCCTGCAGGGACTTGTACACGCGGGCAGAAGCATAGCCACCAATAAAGGCCAGCACGGTGTAGAGGAGAATGATGATGGTGCCCAGAGAGCCGCGGTTGGAGGGCGACAGGAAGCCAAGCAGCGCCAGGCAGATGGTGAAGCCGGCCATGACAAAGAGCTGTGCGCCATTGCCAAGGAAGACGGACAGAATGAGCGGGTGAGATGGGGTGCGGAACACATCACCATGCACCAACTTCCAGCCCGAGTCCTCCTGGACACCATCCTCCAAAGCCGAGGTCCCGGAAAGATCATCGAGCTGGATCTGATCCAGACGGTTGTACCGGGCGATATCCTTCTTCAAGGCCCGGACCAAAACCGACATGACAGTCAGGACAAGGAAGACGACGATAATGGCCGAGTTGATTAGCGAAAACCAGTGGATCCGAGGGTTGTAAACATGAAGGTACTTGTCCCACCGCGTCGCCCAGGCCGTCTGCGAAGGTCTCCAGTATACGCTGTAGGTGAATTGCACCTTGGTGTCACCCTTCTCGTCCAGGTGGAGAGGAGGGAACTGGCGATCGCAAGTGTCGCCTACCTCCCCGTTGTACTTTTTGGATTCGGGCTGCACAAGAACGCCGACAACACGAAGCTGGTCGGGATTGCCGCTAACCTCGTGGTACTCGATCCAGATATCGTAGTGGTTGTTGAATACCGGTTTCCCGTCATCGCCAACCATTCCCATGAAGAACCCAGGGTTGTAGTATTCGGCGCCGGTTGTCATGTCCCTTGTCCTTTGACCCGCTGGTAGCCCATCCACCAGCCAGTTGAGGCTGGCGCCCATCTTGATCTCCTCGTTGACGAAGGTAGCGGATCCTGCATTATAAGTCTGGGTGCATAGCGACTTGCAGGTTTCGTTTTGCTTCATCTTGAGCTCGTACGGCGATGTCTTTATCCTGTCTCCAAACAGGATGCTCCCCAAGCTTTCTCCAACACTTTGCGGCCCACCCACCGGCTTGCAGAACATAAATAGCGGGTAGTAGTAGTCATAGGAGACGGCCGAATGTAGCAGTGTATCGGGGCCGGCGATCGGTTTGATAGAGTTGACTGTGAGGGGCACGAGGTCTCCCTGCTTGTAGGAGGTTGGGGCAACGCCAGGGAGGTAAAAGGCTGTCGCAAGCTGGGCTGAGAGCAGCGCCAGCGCTGCCCTCGAAGGCGCCGCTCTTGGTAATTGCATCGTGCCTAGCTATAAGTGACTGGTTCTGGACAAGGCCGGGGTCAGCATGGTAGGAAACGGAGGTCTCGGAGCCGTGACGTACTCGGATCGCAACACGCGGCCCGGCGAGCTTGAGCTCCGCGCTCAGGGGTATTCGGGTTGCGCGCCGGCGTGACAAGCGCGCAAGTAAGATCCAGGGTGTCTTCCTAATCGCGGTGTGGTAGGTAATTTGCGCAGTCTTGTGACGACGCAGATTCTCTAGATCTCGATAAGTGGTGCCTGAGACAAAGCCTCCTTCTCGCCACGAGTCCACAGCTTCAAGAACAGCTGTCCAACAGTTCAACTCCAGCTGCCCTGCCAGAAAATTGTTCTTAGTCAGCACAGGCTTGGCTGCGCTAAGACATGCAGCCCCACAGCGGACCGGGGTCTTGGAGCAAATTGACCCGGAGAAAAAATTCTGGAGGGGCAGGCAAACCATTGTTTTCTCTGGATCACAATCACAACGGCAAAATGACAGCACCGGCGACATTACCAGCGCTGCTGGACACTCTTACAAAATCACTTTCATCCGCACTGGAGGCAGCGCCCAAGCTCTCCAAGATTGAGGCACCCAAAGATGGCATTTCACTTCTCGACGTGAAGAACGAGCTGCTGCTTTCCTACCTCCAGAATCTCGTTTTTCTCATCCTCCTCAAGTTGCGCCAGTCCAAAAATGGGACAACAAACAGCATCGCAGATGAGGAGAGCCTAGATGACCTGGTCGTCAAGAAATTGGTCGAGCTAAGGCTGTATCTCGAGAGGGGCACCCGACCGCTCGAGGACAAATTACGATACCAAATTGACAAGATGCTGCGCGCAGCCGACGACGCCGAACGGAACGCAAAGGCTGCCGAAGAAGCGAGCAAAGCAAACGAGCGCGACTCGGAATCCGAATCGGGCAGCGAAGACGGGTCCGGCGACGAGCAGGAATCCAAGGCCGCTGTCGACGGGAGGAAGATCTCTGGTCTGCAGCACCGCCCCAACCTCGCCAACTTTGTGCAAGAGGGCACTGCAGCAGGTGTTGGAAAGGAGAAGAACACCTCAGGAGTCTACAAGCCGCCAAGAATCGCGCCCACGGTTATGCCTATGACGGAGAGGCGGGAGAGGACAGACCGCCGACCCATGAAATCGGCTACCCTCGACGAGTTTGTAGCGGACGAGCTGTCCACCGCGCCGATGGCAGAGCCCAGTATCGGTACCACGATCCTGCAGGGTGGACGCAAGGTGAAGACGGCCTCAGAACGCAAGGTCGAGGAGGAGCGACGGGACTACGAAGAACGCAACTTTGTCCGTCTCCCCAAGGAGAGCAAGAAGGACCGCGCGAAGAGAGCCAAGGGGGAGGGACGGAGCAGCCGCATGAACTATGGTGGCGAGGAGTGGAGGAATCTCGGCGAGGGCGTCGACAGGATATACAGGTTGACCAAGGGGAAGAACTCTGGCTCGGGCACCAAGGCGCTCCTCGAAAAGAGCCGCAAGAGAGGACGGGAGACGACGGATGGCGCGCGTGGAAGTGGTGCCAGCGACGGCGTCATGATGGGAGAACGGTACCAGAAGCGCCTTAAGGTCCTCGACACCGGCCGCACAAGCAGAGGCAAGGGGAGGTAGTTTCGCCAGAGTAGTTACAATTTGATAACCTGTTTGTCTCACAAGTCGCCTCTCTTTAATATTTCTCCGGTCCACCCTCTCGGATTTCCATTCCCACCTCTCTTCCTCCCTCTCCCTTGATACCTATCCAGTCAGCAAACTCATCTAGCCTGTTAGTTTTTGTTGTGACTTTAAGCCACCAAGACTTTATTGTCAGTCCCGGGGCTTTTAGGGCTCAACTCTTCCCAACGAATGGAAGCACCTGTGGGGTTTGGGTGCTCAGTTTGGATGGAGAGTGGGCTTGAAGGTCGCTTTGGCTCCCGAGAGAGAAACCGCCCCAGGTTTGTTGGCCGTGGCAAGTATTGAAATGGGTACAGCCCCTGCCAAGCAAGGCGTTGATGCTGGATGGTTGGTTGGTGGCATCGTGAGACTTCTCCCTGTTTACATGACGGTTCTGCGACCACGAAGATTTGAGGATGGGATGTTCATTTTCAGAAAAGAAAAACGGAGACTCATCGTTGCGACCTTTTAGACGCATCATCAAGCTCTGCAGCAACGAAAAACAAGAGAACGAAGAAGAACTGGCCTTTCTGGAAGTATGTCCAGGGACGGGGTGGGCAAAAATTGGGCGCCCCAGGAATCGAACCTGGGTTTCTTCGGGGATGCAAGCTTATCGAAGCTAGCCACAACGAAGTGTACTGACCACTATACTAGGCGCCCTGTCTTGGGTTCGAACTGGCAACTTGCTGATTCGAAGTCCGCTGCCTTGCTATTGAGCTAGCAAACGGGTGATTGATGCAAAGCGGGGTTGCTGCATGTGCTTATGCCGAGAGAGCGGACCCCCGCCTAGGCCGAGGACGACGCTCATGACGACGAAAAACCTACCACCCCCCAGAAGAGTCAAACGTGTTTGTGCTAGCTACGGGAAACTGTCGATAATTTGAAATCATAAAGTTCATCTTCCTGGAATGAGCAGCATATGAGCAAGGCTGCAAACATTAAATCATAATTACCGAATGGTGTCGAAAATTAGATTTGATAGATATTTTTATTTCTGGAGAATCACAAGATATATCAATATACCAGCTAGTTTACCAGGTAGCAACCTAGCCTTACGCATGGGTAATGGCATGCCTGCCTCTTGCTTGGGGCCTGGTTTCCCAAAGTCTCCCCGATATTTTCCACCTCCATCGGGGTTAGAGTAGTTAGTACAGCAAGGGCTTTTTCTTTTTGACCAGTTTCTGAGAAACGTCACCGGTTTCCTGCACTAGACCGAGGACAACGTCCGGCCTCCGTTCCCCACCGCATGGTTTCAAGCTAGCTACAGTTAGCCTCACGTTGGTGTGGATGCTTGCGCCTCTCCTAACCAATCTCTGGGATACAATCGTTCGCGGATCAAAACGTATGACCGGCAAGCTCGAGGACGAGCGCATGCGGCCGTGGATCCATGCCATACTCCAAGGCTTCGACGACTTCATCCAGCTCTCCCAAAACCACCACGCCAATTTGCGCTACAGGGCCATGGTAGAAGCCATTGCCAACGTCAGAAGCGAATTGACGACAGAGTTTCTTGTTCAGGTCACCCAAAAACGGGATGACGCCATCGCCAGATGCAGAGAGATACTGAAGCGCCTCGGTAATAAGGAGCACCGTATGAAGAAGTTGGGGGAGTATACCGTCATCATGGCAAAGAAGCAGGCGGTGACACAAGAACCGGAGGATGTAGTGCCTTAGGCATAGAAATTTCATAGGCATCCATATATTTGTAGGAGACTATCATAAAGGCCCAACCTGCAATTGATGCGTTTCCCAAAATCTAATAGGCACCAAAAGAAAAGTTTAATGCATTTTCGATGGAGTCCTGGGTATTTGAAGATTGACTAATGCGTTAAGTTTGAGTTTACTTCTTTTCAGCGGGTAGATAGGTATGCCTCAAACTCCATGGTGCGTTTATTTTGTCAGTGGCTTGCTGGGATACGGGATATCCCATCAATATCAATGCCAATTAGAGATTTTGGACATTTAAGACGGAGAAAGTCGTTACCCAGCTACAGCCCTAAAAGACGATCTGAACCAAACATACTGAAGACAAACTATAGATAGATGCAGTTTCTCAGAGAGCAACCCCGTTTCAGCCCAACTCAGATCTGGCATTCGTGGAACCGGAAATACAGTCTGTTCCCAAGCAGCCATAACCCAGGTCAAAGCGTTATATGAACCGGATATGCCAATGAGTTGAGCTCCAAACGGGTGCCCATTATTCAACGAGCAGCCAAGTGGTACCGTGGCTGCTGGAGCGACTGTTTCTCTCCCTTTTGTAAGCTTGCTGACCCTGGTTATGCAGTTTGCACCCGCTCTGCCCTGATCAAAAGGATAATAGAACAAGTGGATGGCAGGGGTGACTGAAAAAATCTGCTTTGTATACCTTGTAGACCTTTGCAGCACCCCAGACGTATGAGAGAGCAACCTAGGGACAATCTGCCAGTGCGTCAACAACGCAGAAGGTGAGCACGTCAATGACTCGAAACCGGAACGGCAAGTTCGCGCAGGTTGCCACGAGCCTCCTATAGAAGGCACAGATCAAACTGTTACATCAAGGTGGCTTCTTTTCGTTACGCCGCGACAGGAAGAACACCGCCTGCACGGATTACGTATGCAAAGTTGTAGAGATTAGAACTTTGGAAGGTGCCAAGGAGAACGGCGTTGGGTCCATAATACGAAGTAGGTGCAGGGGGGCTTGATAACGCGTTTGAGAACGCGTCACGACGCAGATTTGTCCTTCTTCTTTTGGTCTCCCGTTATTCCCCGTACATTTTGAAATTTGACGTCATGCGATGCAAATAACAAGCAGCGCAATATTGCAGCTTTCCTGGGTTACAAATCATTCGGGGGTATCGGGGGTAGCGGCCGAGCCCGCGTTGAGCCAAGCGCAGATGCAAGCGAAGCACCTTGCATCTGGAGGCGGGTTAAATACCAGAGCATTGTAAGCAAAGGAATGGCATCACAGGGGTAATCCAGTTAACGGTGCGGCAATGTGCCCATTTTCCTCAGCCCGTGGGATTGCACTAACGGGATTCCGTGGAGAGCCAATGCGGCAGCCTGCTCGCGGAGGTGAGTGGAAGGAAGGATCAATTCGCTATTTTCAGCGGTTTTGGCTTATGCAGCCAGCGCGCCTGTCACTAACGGTCAGTGTCGGGAAAGGAACCGGGAGGCTCTTTCCGTTCCGGTTCTTCACAATCGCTTCGGTCCTGACGACAGCCTGAGAGCCCCTGCCATCCACTCGTTCTATCATCCTCTTGATCAGGGCAGAGCGGGTGCAAACCGTATGACCAGGCTCAGCAACCTTACAAAAGGGAGAGAAACAGTCACCACAAGGCAACCTCAAGAGCTACCCAGGCGTATCGACATCATGTTCATCACGTTGCGCAATTCCGGTTCCGGCAAACAGGAGAAGAAGGCGGAGATGGAGCAGGTGGCCCGTCGAAATGCGGTCCCTGGGAGGGTCAACGACCGGGTACGAGCTATCCGTCGGACCGCTTGTGTGTCGTGCCAGGCCAAAAAGGCAAGTCCTGTATCTTCTGGACAAGTTCCGATTTCCCCGGTCTGACGAGATTTGTTATCCTTTGCAGCTTCGGTGCACCGGGGCAGGAAAAGCCTGTGACCGCTGCAAATCCCGGTCTATCGAATGCGTCTTCCCTGTCTCTCGGGCTTCGGCGTCGCAGCAAGCAGGCGCGACAAACCCCACACAACAGGAGCCAGATAACATCCTATTCGATGCTGAGACCGGCGAGTCTCAGGAAAGCGGCATGACGCTGGCCTCTGGGTCAGGAACCCAGTTATCAAGCACTGGCGGTGCCGCCGCACCGGGACCTGTGGGGGTCGAGCCAACGGCAGATGACTTCTTTTCCTGTACGTATATGCATCTCCCGTCATCATTCTGACTAACAGCGTCTTTGAGTAGACGTCAGTGATTTCGATTGTTCCCATGCCGAAACGGGGTTCGATTTCAATGCTTTTCTTAATGAGAATTCCCTTTCAACTGACGATCCGGCCGATTTCTTCGTCATTGAGGGGTATTCTCCTTTCCCGTCGGCTTCGATCCCAAGCCTAGACAGCCCTAGCCCATCCATACCCACTCCCGAGAGTGCGACCGGCTCTTCCTCTTCGTCATGCTCCTGCACCCCTGATATCCTCCGCGCCATCCGACAACTCGACGATGACGACTTTGGGCTGGCATCACTGGCCACTGATCAAGTCATCCAACTGCAAAAATATCTCGCATTCCAGTGTTTCAAGCCGCTTACCTGTCGCGATTGCTCCGACTCAGCAACTGTCAGCACCTTGGTTTTCAGCCTCTGCGATCGAATGTCCGAGTTCTTTGAGTGCATGAGCCGCCGGCTGGACCGCACGAGACTGTTCCTTGATGGACATACGACAGACGGTTCTCATCACTCCATCGACAGGGCAGTACGGCGGACTCAGCTTTTCTGTCGGGATTCGGGCAGGCCAGCGGAGTCGGTAGAGTGCAGTCTTGTCGTGTTCTCGGACGAGTTTCGGAACCAGTACAGCGACGAAGAGCAACTCCACATGATCAAAGTATTGTTGGAGTTGCAGATCAGAAATTACGGGAGCTTGTTGGAGAAGTTGTCAGCCGTGGCACACGTCGTGAACAGCCCAGCTAGGCGGGCGAGAATCAAGGCCTGGAGGGAGAGACTTTCGAAAGCAACGAGGGATATTGAAGGATCATGGGCCAGTATTTGAAGGCCATCTATCTGATTGGAACGCTTTGGGTGGCACTTTTGCTTCTTTCTTTCTTTCTTTCTTTTTTTTTGGGGGGGGGGGGATTTTCTTCGCGACAATACACGAAGCATCATCATAGCCATGGGCCGTTCTCATTTGGAGTAAAGGAGGACTGGGGCAGATCAGGATCGCTCGGATCTTTTGCAAACTTGCTAGCACGACTCTGGAAGCCATTAGCAGGGATGGATATGTTCACTTGTTTCCCCAACAAAACTGTCGAAACCGCAAACAGGTGAAATGTGTCTTCCACGCGTCCAGGTCTACGGCGTTGCTGTAAGGGCCAAGTGGCTGAGGCGAGGTTCCAGGCTAGCGCCTTCCCCTAGCATCACCAGACAGGACCCAGGCTTTGGATGTGGAGGATCTGTTGGAGCGGCAGAGAGCATGCAACCCTACCCGACCGGCAGGCCGACGACAGCACTGCACGATGACGGCCGGATTTGGAAGTCCCCGACGGTGGGGCTGAGCCCTCGCAACAAATGGGACCGTGAGACGAATCCTGATCGGGGAATTTGCTCGGGGACTGCCCTTTTGGGCGACGAGGACGTGAACTTTTGGAGGTCTTTTGACTGACCACCGATAAACATCTGAGCTCATCATTTTGCACGGAAGGGGTGACTTTGGGGCGGTAGGATTCGTGTGAAGGGAGGACGATCCGGATGCCGAATCCAGCACACCAAAACTCCCGCCGGCAAAACGGTTCGCAGACTTCCCAATTCACACTTGCGGCTCGCAACACAGAGACTCTGTCATCAACCCTGCTCTACTTCTTCCCGGCGCTTCCTTTTTCCTGGCCGACATGACCCATGTCCTGATGTTTCAGAGAACGCCGTCAACAAAGTGGGCTTCAACACTGGACACTAAATCTTGCGCTGTGCGCACCCGACGGTATATAGCTGGAAGAGTCCAGTGGCCAAGATGAA